CTTTAGGTTGAAAAATGAAGGGTCAGAAATAGAGCCAATGTTCCTGCTTTTGTAAGTAGTATTGGCTTTGCCTGAGCCATGGGCAGGCTGCATGACTCTGAGCAAATATATTTTCTGTGCCTTGTTTATTAATGGACAGAAGAGCTAGCCTGAAAATGAAATTGATTTTATTCACTTAGGATTTTATACTCCATTGCACAACCACAACCCAGCAAATTTTTCATTAAGAGAGATAATTACTTTAATAAAGATTAAATATAATTTAAAATTCACATTTATCTTTATCTACCTAATGCAGTTCGAAATTAACCTAAAATGGTTAGGGAAGTGGGAAGAAATGGGTTTCTCCAAAAAGTCTCTACCTGTTTATGTAGAGATGGCTCCAATCTGACAGTTTCTGCCTTGCTTCCTCTTTCTCCTCTCCCTCTCAGTTCATCTATTAGTGTCTCCCACATCAAGGACAAATCAAACCTTCTGCTATTTAATAATCTTAACTTGGGGATATTTGGCAGAGGCAGAAGGACAGGAGCAATTAATATCTGGAATGCTCAGTGGTCTATGAAAAGCTGTATCCATGGTGGGCATATGGGGAAAAACATTAAGATCAAAGAAGTGGCAGGTTGGTTTTAGAAGCATTCTCCCTCCTTGAAACAGAGTGTTTCTCTTGCACCTGTCAAAGACAGAAAGCTAAAAATGACATTAAACTGGCCATTATTACTCCTCATTTCATGTGGCCTTAGAATTCTTCCTCATTAATGGCATTAGAACATTGTTGTAGAAAGAGCCAAACAGAAAGAAAAAGAAGAGTTTAAGTTCTAGCTTCTCCTCTTATCAAATATATACCCTTAAAAATGTTTCTTAACTTCTCTGAGTCTGGGCTCTTCATTTGTAAGATGGGACTAATGATGCCCACCTTTTACTTCAGAGATTTAGAGCATCTGGTTTTGAATGGGTACTTAAAGCTCCAAAACACTATACCAGTGGACTACTGATCCCTCAGTGACAGCAATACCTGCTTCTGCAGAAAGGGCCAGTGGGTTTTACCCCAGGCTCTTGCCAAAGGAGGGACACAGGGAAGCGTGGGCTTGTCAGACCCTCTAGCACAGATAGGCATAGCCCTGAGTGTTTCAGCAGCCATTTTCCTGGAGAAAAAACTAAGACTGGTTTAGTGAGAAGATACAACTGGCTCCCAGATGTCATATTCAAGTAATAGCTCTCATTTGCTGAACACCAGTGGAACATGACACATTATATATCTTGTTGAATTAGCATGACTTTGTAACTTATCATCCAAATCAGGAAACTTTCAGAGTGAAAGGGAATGCTATACATATACATAATTACATCAAAACATGTGTAAACCTGGATGATCCTAGGCAAACTGAATATATGGTCATACAATCACTCCATGAGTTATAAAACACTCCCTATTCAACTGAAGGAGAAACTATGACTCACAGAGGTTAAAAGTAACATGCCCAGGGACATGGAAACTATCCAGTGACAGAGCCAAGGCAGGAACCTCAGCCTGTTTGATGCTAGAAGTACTTTCCTCTAACATATTCCCCGCTTAAGACTCTTTAGTCACAATGTCAGCTGCCAAATAACAGCATTAATTTTGTTTTGAAAGTCTGACTTTTTTGGCTGAATAACATATTTCAAATATGGGCCATGACTTCCAACTGCTATTAAGAAAATGGGTTAAAAAATGGGTAAAGAGAAAGCAAAGGACACTAATAAAAATAGTCATATCCTAATGAGCATCCAGCTCCTTCTGAGTGCTCCATGCAGCCTGAATCCCAAAGGCCTGAGCTAATTATTCAAGGATGGAGCATGACAGCCAATAGGGCCAGATATCAATGAACATTTTTCCCCATGTGCTGGTCTATATTCTCACGTACACAATGAATTCCTTGATCTAGGTCAGTTCACTGCTCACAAAAAAAAAAAATCATCCACTTAATAATAGACCAGGATCTATTCTTTCTCCCAGAGTTTAAGGGGTATAAGAATGTTGAGAGATGATCGACATTCATTCCCCTCCATAGTGTTTCAATGGGTGAAATAGACACGTACCACACACTTTCACCCTTTGGCCCACCTGCCAGTCACTGTTTGAGTTTTTCTTGTCTCTTTACACACCAGAAATGAGACCAGTCCAGTCTCTAACAAAAGGTAAGGGCATTGGCAGAGACAAGGGAACTTACAATGGCTCAAATCAGCTGTACATTCTAAGCATATTCAGTCACAATCCCTAATGAATAACCAAGTGTGCTCCTGATCCCAGAAGGGGATGATCAAGTATTTCAATTATCCTGTAAAAGATTCCAGCTTGAGACATAATAAAACCTGATTCAAAATTCAAATCTGTATCTCTGATGGTATGCTATCTTACCATATCACCCAAACACTCCGAGTTTCAGATTTTTCAATAGTAAAACATTGCTTCTGAAACTGTAGTGGGCATAAAAATCACCCATAGAGCTTGCTAAAACCCATTCCTGGGTGTAAACCCATTCCACTTGGAGATTCTGATGTATTAAGTCTGGTGTAGGGCCAGAGAATTTGCATTTCTAGTAAGTTTCCAAGTCATGATGATGATGATGTTGATGATGATTATGTCGTCCATGGACCACACATTGAGTAATTATCTCTAAATTGTATCAGTAATGCCAACCTCAGACTCTGTGTAAAGATTTGAAGAGATGTGCAGCTCTCCTTAGGAGAGCTGCTGACATAATGCTCCTCAGTCTACATGCATTCATTGAAGATGATGAACAAAATTTCAAGAGTGTAAGTAGGAATAAAATTTGGGACATATAATCTTTTCTAACATGCCAGGTACAAGATTTAATTACATTCCAATCTCTCTTGTCCAATACATTCAATGTGCCAATAAAAATGGGGTCTCTGTCTCAAATTGTGAATTACCCAAAGGTCTCTCAGTTCTCTGTTTTTAATCATAAAACACACTTTTTGCTCACAAAGTCCATGTGTCCTCTCTAAGCTTAGCTGCATCTCCAAGGCATCCAAACCTCATTTAAAACCATCTTGACTACTACTTAAGAAAGAAAACATAAATCTTCCCATTAGAACAGCTCGCAAGAATAGATGAAGTGATATTTACTTTGCTGAAAATAGAAATTCCCTGTTATACCAATTGTTAAGCTTATGATCAGCTAGAGTCCTTCAGTTTGTCCTTGTCTGACGCAGCACAGCGATCAGGGAACTCACCTCACTTAGCCCCCTCCCTTCATCCCAGCTTTCTCTCGACATTATTTAATCTCTCAGTTGCAGCTTCTTGGGATTAGCTACAGCATCTATTAATAGTTTTACTTCTGTTTACAGTTCCAAGGGGAGAAAAATGTCTCGTTCCTTTTCTCCAATCTTGAAGATATGTCTTAGTGCAGCAGGAGGAAGATGCACAGGCACCGTGAATAACCTATTTCCACAATCATTTCACTGTAAAGATGCTAATGTGTTTCTATGCCGAATGGATCCATTTAATAGGCAGAACAAGTTAGATATAAACTCTTTAATTGCTTTCAGCACACCGATTATCTTCCTGTGTCACCTATTGTATAATGCAAAAATGTTAACAAAAGCACTTACTGAAGACATTATTGGGAATTAAAAAACAAAGAACCATCAGTTGTCACTAAATATGCCTTTCATGTTCCCAAATGAAATGCATTTGCGCACTCAAGAAATAGGAGAGAAATGTGCAGGCCTGCCATTGTCAGATGCAAACATCTTCATTAGACTTTGATCCAGCTGCTGCAGGATCTATAAAAAGAGCTATCAAAGCTGGCAACTCATTATTGGCTATTTCAGGAAAACTTCAAAAAACCATCCCTAAACCTGAACTGATCTTTTCTGACAACTTCTCCGGCCAGGCAGTTTGTTTGGAAAGAGCGACATTAAAAACCTTTGCCAAGCCAGTCCCACAGAGTGTCACTTCAAAGGACAGAGTGCCCGTGGCTGTGAACAAGAAGCCACAGTTGCAGAGCAGACCTGTATTCCTGTACACTTGAGCTGTAAGTTCCTGTCACCCCCAATCTCCTGTTCTGATCCAAATGTACCTCCTTAAAAGTGCATAAATGAAAGTAGCCAAATCCAGGTCTTTATAGCCAAAAACAAAAAAGATTAATATGTGCAATGTTTCATAACATCCTTTCTCTATTGCAGTAAATCTTCTTATGCATATTGGCAGTCATCTAATTTCTGGCATGTTATTTCCTGCAGACACTCACTCTTTTAAAAGAGAAAAAAAAGACTAGTCAAGGGAGCAAGCAGGAATGAGAAGGGAAAAAGGAAAGAAGGGGAAGGAGAAAATGAAACGAAAAAGGGAAGGGGAAAGAGAGTTGTGGTTCTGGGGACAGTGTACAGAGGAGGGTATAGGAAGCAAACTATAAATGTCAAAATTACCTGCAATTCCTCCCTTGTGTTCTGTTGAAACAGAAGGCACTCCACGAAGATCTGAACAGCATTCTTGCTAATCACAGTCCCCAGAATCTTGGGGACCTCTTCAGACAAGCCCAGGTCTGTAGAGGCTTCTGACAGATACCAAACAACTCACGGGAAGCAACTGTCGGAGCTGTCACTGTCATTTATGAAAGACATTTTTCCCCTCTTGGTCTATACATCTCTATTTACAACAAAGAAGAACACACATTATGATCACTATTATTCAGCCTCAGTAAACAAGGAGGAAAGAATACATGGACCTCTAACTAAATCTACTTAACGATATTGGCTTTGCCTTGAATTTACCCACTACAATATCTATTTTACAGTCAAAAGTAAATTGAAATACTTAAAATATGGATGGAGTATCATATTCTTTATTTGAATTAGGTACAAAAACTCATTTGGAAATCAATTTATTATATTTATACTGTTATTAAAACTACTACCCAAATATTAATGCCCTTGAGACCCACAATTTATTTTTCCTTGCATATATCACCCCTAGTCCTTCAGAACTTGAACTTTCCTGTGCACGTTTTGCCAGCCCATATAATAAATGCAACAGCACAGAGAAGATTAGCATGGCTCTTGGGCAGGGATGACTCACAAATTCATGAAGCAGTCCACCATGTTTCATTTTAAAAATACTAAATTTTATTAATTTTTTAAAAGCATTTTTTTAAGTGACCTTTCCACAGTGCTTCAGCTATCACCTTCTCTCCTGCCAATGACCTCAGTCCAAGGAGTCAGCATGGAAAGAGCAACAGAAGTCCAGGCCCACACTGCCTCCAACTAGAGTGTCATTCTGAGTTGGGACCCTACTGCCACCAGATGAGCTTTCCAAAACGTGAAACTCATAATGAGGCTACCCCAAGTAACACCACTCAGTGATTTCCTATTGCCTTTCAGATAAAATCACATTCCTGCTGTGTGGCTACAGGCAAGTTATTAAACCTCTCTCTGGCTCAATTTCCTCTTCTATAAAATGGTGATAATAATCATGAGAGAAATGCTTGTAAAGCACTTGGTGCAAAGCTAATGAATGCGTGATGTTATTATTATTATTGATGTTACCATCAGCCATGCTCCTTCTTTGTTTCCCCTTTACTCTGTCTTGCAGCCAAACTAGACAAGGATTTCCTTCAATATCCCATAACCTTTTTGTCTCTGTGCCTTGACCTGTGGTTTTCTTTCTGTTTACAACACTCTCTTCATCTTCCTGGCCCTTGGCCAGTCTCATTCCTATTAATTTATAAACTGTCAGCTTAAATGCACATTATCAAGATGGCCATCACTGACACCAACGGCCAGGTTTGCCTCCCTCAATATGTGCATGCACTGCACACTTCCTGTACTATAATATGCATCATGCATTACTTTTACATCTTCCTGAAATATCCATAAAGATTAGATTTGCCTTGCTCACCACCGTATTTCTCAGTAGCAAGCACAGTGGAGTCAGAGTATATGGAATTAAAATGCAGTGGAAAAAGAAATCTTAGCAGGTTACATTGACAAAAGATTACCTCAATCCCACTACAGTTAGTGACAGTATAGCTCCACAGAATTTCATGACAAGTCCCAAGCTAATGGATGCCCCAGGCTATGGAACACTGCTTGTCTCATGAAAGAAAGGGAACACAGCAATCTTTCACTGCCTTTCTTAAAGTTTCCATTCTGAAGTGGCACATTGAACTCTCCCTTGTTTTATTGGCTAAAGCAAGTCACATGATAAAGCCTGAAGTCAATGAGATGGGGAATCCTTATGTAGAAAGGGCACTATAAAGAGGGAAACTTCAATGTTCAGTGAACTATAATAGATACATCAGATCTCAATACATGTTAGGTTAATAAGATATTTTTTGCTGCAAGTTGACAAATGACCCCCCCAATCAATTAAACCAATTAAAATCTTTCCATAAACTAATCTGTATTCGGATATTCATGTTTGGAAATTTTTGATTTTTAAAATCACTCTTCTGGTCAGAGCTGCGTTTTCTACCACAGACCCCACTTGCATGTGCACATGGCCACAGTTCACAACCATACCAGCATACCGTTTTTGAGTAAAAAATAACAATTAGCTTTAACAACAGCAGCAACAAAAATCCCCATGATTTCATTGCTTGCTCTATACAAAATATTACTATGAACAAATGAGGTTCTATCTAGTCTCATAGGAATACAGGGCATAAAGGGAACCTTTGAAATCAGTTACTCTGATCTCTCAGATGAGACCCCCAAAAAGCCAAGTAACTTACCAAGTTCAAACAGCTAAGCAAGAGCATAGCCAGGACTAAGTTATAAATCACTAGAGGAGAATTTGAGATCTTGCTCCCCCAGCATATGAGGGGGGACCCAAAAACCCCAGAATTATCTTCTGGAGGGTGGGACCCTTGTAGCACAGGCTTTCCCTGCTAGGTGAATGTTCTAGGAACCCATCTGTATCAGTGTACCAGCTGGTGTTGTTGTGAGAGGCTGCATTTGGCTTCAGTGAATTTTTTGAAGACTCTTTCAATGTGTTTGCCCATTTCATGATGGGCGATTTATGAGCACACCTGTCCACACTGCACTGAGTGGTCAGCAGTTTTTCAGCAAAAACAGCATGACCCTGTGCCCCACTCTCCCTATAACCTTTTGTTTTGTTTTGTTTCCCCAAATGAAAAAAGTCCTCTGAGGGAGATAGTTCTTTCAGCATCTAGGATAGTACCTGCTCTTCACTAGGTGCTCAAAGAAATGTTTGTTAAATTGAACTGAACTGAACTGATTGAGTTTAAGTGATTTGAACTGAAATAGTTTCATTGAATTGAAAAGACATACCATGCAGAGATACACTTTTTTGCCTACTCTGTAGGCCATGTTCCCATTTCCCCTGGAGTTTTAGGCTTTCCAGACCAACAAGTTACATGCCACAGCTATGACTTCGTTAGCTTATTTTCTGTAGTACCCTTGTTTCCTGCTCCTTCTTCCTTTGAGCAGACACAAATTAACATCTAGAAATCTTATCATCTCTTGACATTTGCAGAACAATATAAGATCTGGAAAGCAAAATCACCAATAATAAGGACTCTTGAAAGATCATTAGACAAAGAACTTTATTCCCTCTGAGCTAAGCAGGCCATCTAAAAAGTGACATAACCCAGATGTTCTTAAACCACAGGAACAAATGCCATTAAGTTGCTATCTCCTGACAACTAAGTGATATATACAAGGTATAAGAATTAAATTTGGAGAGAGAATACAGACTCTGGCTGGTCTCCAGGGCTGAGCGATATTAAATAAGAAAGAAACAACAGTGCTGTCAAGTCTAATTGTTTAAAACATAAAACTCTTTCCATATGCCCTGAGACGAACAGGGCTGTTTCATATTGGGATGTGCTGTGAAGTCATGCAAAGGACGGCATATACCATTTGGACTGAAAATCTTATCTGCAGGGAATTTGCCTCTGCTTTCTTTTCTTTTTTTTTTCAATGACCCACCCAAGCACTTAGACATTTGAATATAGGTATAGGAAAAACATATTATAAAGCTTCTGCAATATAGCACAGCTTTCGTTGTGGTTGAAGAGATAGGTTGTGGTCAGTTAGCACTGAGTTCTAATACTGACTATACTTCTTGTTGTTTTATCTAAGACTCATTTTTTCACTCATAAACAGAGATTATATTCTTATGGCATAAGGATGTGATAAAAATTAATGAGATAATGGATATAAAATGACTGGCACTTAGTCCAGCCATTCCTTACAATGTACCTTTTTTACTTTTTTCTTTAAATACATAGGAGACAATCATCCACCTGGCAACTCCATGTAAGTCTGCAAGGAGAGGAATTTCTCACTCACTGACAATAAATTGAGAGATGCCTGTATTTTATCCTGTCAGTTAATTAACGTAGATTTACTGAGTACTACTTACACACAAAATTCTGGTAGATACTGTAAAGGTTACATCTTATTACACAAAATGTATGAAATTAAGGTATCTGTTGAAGCTCCTTTTTTATCAGTTATGACATTAAGTAATTGAGATTATCTGGCATTCTAAGTGTTTGCTTTTTTAAAAAAAAGAACATGTGTTCAGTATGGAAAAATAATAAAAAACAAACAATTCAGATTCAAGCTAGGATTAGTGGGGATTCCTACATATTACATTGATTGGAAATTATTTATTCCCAACAGTTTTCTGTTACAGGTATATATCTATATTTTTGTATCCATGTATCCATATAATTGCATACACATTTTTTCATGGCAGAAAAAGAGCTGTGCTGGAGGTTCAAGCCCTGCCTTCCCACATTCTAATGGGAATAAGAAGTGCAACTCTATTCCTTCCAGGAATTTCAATTTCCTCATTGTAAAATTCAGATTGAATAGATGATTTCTAAAGTCACTCCCATATGTGTAAGTTAATGTTGGGAACCGCCCTGACTGGTATCAGAAGCTGTAACCCCCACCTAGGCTAAGGCTAAGGGAACGCCCTTGGAACTGTAAGCCAGCAAGGAGACAAAAGCTTATCTCCCTGGCAGGAACGCTGCTTCTGCTGCTTTATTCATAACTGAACCCCAAAAAGCTTGGTCGGTTAGCCAAAGACAGGTAAGATTCCCCAATGGGGGGAACGACCTAAGACAGGCATGATCACTTTGGGAGGCCCCCCAAAAGAAGGACTTGGGGGGCTGCAGCAAAAGGGGGTGATGGACCCTCGCTCCTCGGCTTTGACATAGCCTGAGTTCTCATCGTCTGGGAGAAAATCTCCTTATCTCTTGGTTGCCTTAATTCTCTTGCTCCACCTAAGCCTGAAACAATGACAGGGTGGTGCAGCTCTGTGCTGAAAAAGGCAGATTCCCTGGGTGATCAGGCCTAAGAAAGAATATGTAAATTACTGTGAAACCTTCTTTGTTTAGAATGCTCTCAGTTGAATGAGAGGGGTCCAAGGAGGAAGTTAGTTTGTTTCTCAAAGTCTTACAGCTCTTTGACCCCGACTCAAAATAGACCCTCAGACTTCCTTGTTTTCTATGGTTCCTTACTTCCCCCTAATGAGTACTGTACTTTACCTGAATTATTATGCAAAATGAGCCCAGTAAAAGCAGGTATGGATGGTAAATCGGCGCACTCCTCACTAGAAGGGGTGGCCATTTCGTCCCTACTTCTCCACAGAAACTAGTTTGTCTCTGTGCATGTTTTTTCTTGCATGTTTATCGTCGAGCCATCTGCAGCATTCCGTGATCACTGCTGGCCGGTGACTCACGCAACAAGTTAACATGTAGTAAAAACACTTGTGACTCTAATATTGTATGTGTATATGTATTTATGAAGTGCATTTTTCCCCAGACCATAACTCTACAGAAATTTCATAAAGACAAAAACCATCATACAAATACAGTTTTGCACAACACACACCAAGGTGTCAATGAATGAAAAGTACTCAGAAGACTTTCAAACTTCTGTCTACTTAAGTATCTCCTGGGACAATCCAGAGGGGCAGCCAGGGGTAATATCAGAGCTCTTCCAATATGGCCCATCAGGAATGCTCCACACTGCACAGAGGTGATCATAGGCTGGCTGCACACACAGAATTTTGGGAGGTTTAATTAACCTCATGATACCTTACCACAATTGAAACCACTAAGTCCCAT